TGCGTGGCCGCACTCGTGATACGCTATCAACTTCTTCTCCTGACTGCTCAGCACTTGACTGCGCTTTTCAGTGCCGCCGACAACCCGTTCGACCGCATACTCCAGATTCTCGGCTTTGACCAACTGTTTGCCCTCTCGGGCCGCGTGAAGGGCCGCCTCATTGACAACGTTGGCGATGTCGGCGCCCGTAAAACCCGGAGTCAATTGCGCTAAACGTAAGGCGTATTCGTTTGGATTGAGCTCTAATTTGATTGAATTTAAATGTTGAAGAAAAATGTCTTTCCGTTCGTCAAGAGTCGGATAATCGATGAGTATATGTCTGTCAAACCTTCCCGGCCTTAACAGCGCCTTATCTAAAATATCCGCTCTATTAGTCGAGGCCAACATAATCACGCCCTCTCTCTGACCCATTCCGTCCATTTCAACCAACAACTGATTCAATGTCTGTTCCTCTTCGCCGCTCACGCCTTGAATATTAGCAGTGCTTCGCTTTCTGCCGATAGCGTCGATCTCATCGATGTATACAATACAAGGCGCGCGCTTTCGGGCCTCACGGAACAGGTCTCGCACTCGTGCGGCGCCTAATCCTCCAATCATTTCAATGAATTCAGAGCCGGCCATCGCTAGGAAGGGCACACTGGCCTCAGTGGCCACCGCTTTGGCTAACATTGTTTTGCCACAACCGGGCGGTCCAAGAAGTAGGACCCCTCGCGGCACTTTAGCGCCCAATGCCTAAGTCATAAATAGTGTCAATCAATTTATAGCAATCATTTGATGGCAATTATAAATACTCGAAATCTTTCCGACGCTTTTAGGTAATCAACGAATTCCATGATTTCTACTTTCGCTTCTTTAAGTCCGGCCACGTCTTTGAAACGGACGCCTTTCCCGCCACCGGTCAGCGGATCAACGATCGTGTACTTCGCGCGACCCATTTGTGACTATGGCATCACATCATATCATCATTTAGTATACTTTTGATAACTTTAAGCGATTAACAATTGACTCACAAACATATCCATATTAACTGGAGTTTTGATTTGTCCACTTCTGAACATAATTAATATCATAAGAGAGACGGCGACCAATGAAACCAACAAAAGCCAATTGCTCTCCTGATTGCGCTCATAGACAACGGGAACCGCTTTGTCGGGTTTGACGGCGAGCTGTCGTTCGGCATCTCTGAGCCGCCTCTCAAATGAGGGCACGTCTACGATATTCATGTGATATGTCCTGTGATCGGATCGCTTCCCTTTAATGACAGCGCCTTCGTGTAGATAAATGGTCACCAAATCGAGCTCTGGTTTGACCACCAGTTGTTCCACTTCTCCTTTGGCTAACATTTGATGCAAGAACTCATTCCAAGACACGTATCGCAACACATCCGGTGTATTAGAGTTGGGAAACAGTAATGACATTATCG